CGGTGGGTACCAAATCTCCCCTGTTGGAGATGTTATAAATCATTCTCAAGAGAGATAACAGGTTTCAAATAGCACATCTGCGTTCCTAGACATGAAATGGATGATGTTTCCATTTATAAGATGGCTTAGAGAAAAAAAAATTTAGGAATGAATAATAATACCATTCAAGATTTTATTTATATTGGAGTGGAATCCAGACCTATTACGGCTCTAAATTAAAAGTTTGTTAAAAAAATCTAATTTTAATTTCTAGCTCTATAAAAATGAGTTCGAAACAAAAATCAAGAAAAATTTTAGACTCTTAAGATATTAGAAATGATCATGAATCAGAAAGTTAAATAAAGAATAATATTAATAGAGGGAGATCTAACACTAAGATTAAAACAAAAATAAAAATGATGAATAATCTAATAATCCATATAATAAAATCCAATAATAACCTAACTCTCCTGAACCTGAATTTAATACAACAATAATTATAAATAAACCAGAAAAAATGGTACTTTAAGAAATTCACTTCTTATTATTGAACTGATTCAAACACCCTGACATTTGAAAAGGCTTAATCATTCTAGATTAAGAGAAAATTCTCAAGAGTAGTTTAGAAGACAATGTTTTAATCATAAATACAAGTTTTTAAAGATTATTAGTAACCTTTGTCTTAGCTAGCTAAATTAATGATTTGATTATATAAATTAGAATACGTGCTATATGTAAATTTTAGTAAAAAATAAATGCATCTTTCATTTTTGATTATATTGAAGAAGTATTAAGATATTCTATAGAAGAGAAAGATATCATTATAGAAGAAATAGCTCATAATAATAAATAAAATCATTGAATTTAATCAATCAATTGTAGCTGAATTAAGATTAACAATCAATATTAATTTGTAGATATTTTATAATTTTAATCATTTTTAAGTATCAAAAATTAAAAAATTAAACTAAAAGATCCAAAAATTCATATAATCAAATTTTGAAGAATCTAAATCGCATTATTAAATATTATTAATGGTTAATCAATCACAAAAGAATCTTTAGTTACATATATAATATTAAAATTATGCAAAGTATAAAAAGGAAATATTCATAATATTTTAAGCTTGGATTTTAATTTTAGAACCTAAGGGTTAATTTGTTTCTTGAAAAGGATGATAGAGAAATTGTAAGAATTCGAAATGGTTCTATATCTGAAAAGGAACAACATATTGGAATTTTATCACTTGTTTTAATGATAATTTGGATATGATCATTATTTAATTAAATGAATCACAGTTTCAGAAATACAACTTATATAAGATAATAAACTAATTAATCTATTTATTGAAATTAAGGATCTCTTTTTAATTTTATCATATAAGTTAATTTTATCGATCTTAATTTTTATAATATTAAAAAGTTTAAAAATATGAAGCAATACAGATCAATGATCTTTGACTTTTTAATCTATAGATTAAAAAGTTGTCCATGAAGTAGAATAATTATTGTAAACTTATTGTCATTTATAATTATAAACATAAAATTAATATCCATAGATATCATTGGTTGTTTTAGATTCAAAATAGTTAGTTGAGAGATTAGTAATTAAGGAAATTAGTTCAGATGTATGAAATGGATAAATATTTAAAGATATTTAATAGTAAGACGGTTTGTTTAAAATATTCATGAAATGTTTTCTTTCATTTTGACTCCCTAAAGATGTTATTGGATATTTAATTTCCGTTTAGTGTTTTCTCTTTAGTGTATTCAGGTGTAGCAAGAATTTGATATTATAAATTATTTTTTATTTTTTTAATTTTTAAATTTATTTAAATTATTGATTTTTATAATATTGAATCATAAGAAATAATCTGGAACTCCTTTAGTAACAGATTCATTTTCAGATCTTGAAGCTGGATCAAATTATCTGTTATATTTATTGAATAAATTAGATTACAATATATAACGAAGATTTTTCATCAACTTCTATAATTTTTGTTTGATTACCACATCTATAACAATAATTGGGAGTTGAGAAAATTATTACAACATTTCTCTTATTAGCTAAAGAATATCCCTAAATAAATGTAGTTAAATATATATTTACATCCATGACTAATTAAAGTGCTCTAGTAATCATTTTTAATTTATTGTTGTAATTGTATTATTCAGAAATATCTCATCCATATGGATATCCAAGCACCTTTTGGAGAAATACCCAACCAGATCTATCATACGAATCACTTCAAAGTAAATCACAAATAGGACCTTCACGTGATACTTCTTAAAATCTATCTAATTAACTAATGTGATTCAATTTATTAATAGATTGAGAAATACCTCCATAAAGACAGACGAACTTTATGAATAAAAAAGAATTTACTTTTGATTTTTCAATAACTTCTTTTAATGGTATGTAATCAAACAATTCAGTGAAGCATTTCCAAACATTGCTGTTTCCATACTTACCAGAACTTTCCTAATAGAATCAATACATTTATGTAATATTTCTTGATTGTTGGTTACCTCTTAATATATTTATTCTGTCTCGACTTATCAATTTTCATTAGATATTTTACACTTTTAACAATATTAAAAGTGCTACATATTCTACAGAATGATGACCTTGATCTAAATAATCTCCCATAAAAAGATAATTAGCAATCCTCAAAATAAAATCACTTCATTACTGATGCTTTGCCACCTATTTTAAATAGTTCCATCAAATTATGTAATTAACGATGAATATCACCAAAACTTATAACTAGTGCATGTGCTGGTTAGACGTTAGATTCTTCAATCAAAATCTCCTTTGCCTATTAGAACATAAAAATTTAGTTAGTTCCTTTAGAGTATATATATTAAAATAACTTTTTAAGATTGATTTTAAGCAATCCTATTAATAATTTATAAAGTTTTAAGTTTTATGTAAATTAATTATATCATTTCCACCTCTCGTTCTAAAAGGTTTACATTAATATAAATCTTAGATTTGATGATCAAGATTGCTTGCATCTAGTGAATTTAATTTAGAACCCATATTAATGTATATATTGAATCACCATTAGAACTTAATCAAATTATATATAAAGTTTTAATTGATTTAAAATAAATCATTAAAAATTTAGTATAATATACATAAAAAAAGGTAGTAGACATTTTTATGCATATCATTCTCATAATAATTCTTTGGCTCTCTCAAAAAATCTTCCCAATGATATTCTCTATTCATTGAAACTTAATTTACTCATTCGCTAAAAAACATCTCTCCATTGAATCATATTTGAAAGATCTTATGAAAATTAATTTCAATTCAATTTCTATTATTTTCCATAACTTTACATCATTAAAATCCTCTTCATTACTCTTTTACAAATACTCACTTAAATCTACTAATATACGCAAATCTGAGAAAATCTCTTTAAAAAAATATTTACAATACTCCAATCATATTCTTATATTTATTAATCATTTAAAAATCAATTTCAAATACATTTTTATATAAACAATTTGATCATACTTATATTTTTTATCTTAAAGTAAAAATTAATTTTCTTGCAAAAGTATTAATTGTGATAAAATCATAGAAAATAGAATTGTATTTAGAGCTTCTGCATAATATCTAATTTATTTAATGATATTGTGAAGTTTAACAATAATTTAAAATTATGTTTTTTCAAAATTTATAGATATATCTAAAGTTATGGGGAATATCAACGTCTATGTAATTTTAGGTCATAAATTCACATATTTGCAAATTAATAGAAATATAAATAAATTTAAAAACAAATTCTTCAAACAAGTTTCATATGAGCTGCTAATAATCAACTAATTGGGTGGAACAAAGAAGTGAAGAAGATTTCGACCTAAGCAATTCAGATGAGGAATTTTTTAATAATGTAAATCAAATCCACAATCTTTCATAGCAAGGTGAGAATAGTAAAAACAAAAATAAAAATGGTGGATGGAATGCTATTTGGAATAAACAGCCTTTAAAGGATTTTGGTGGATACTATAAAGCTGGGAAAAAGTAAGGATTATGGAAATATTTATTCCCAAATTATTCAAAGTAAGATATTTATATTAAAAATTATGAATAGTTAAGAAAAAATATTTGAGATTGGAGAATATAATAATGGCCTAAAAATTGGAAGATGGAAATATATTTATAAAAATTAAAAAATGTATTTATTTTAAATATTTTTAGTGGTGGTGGATTTTTCAATATAGATGGTTAGAAAATAGGGAAATGGATTGATCTCGATGAAGGGTTTTAGGCTAGCAAAAAAGTAATTTTTTGTGGAGAATATGATTAAAAGAGTATAAAGGTAGGTAGATGGGATATTATGTATTGTGGTTTATAAAGTAATAGAGAATATAAATAAATGTAAATATGATAGTTTATAAGAATATTAAAATCTACAATTGAATATATGTATAGTGGTGGTGGATCATATGATTAAGAAGGAAATTAGAAAAAGTTTGGAAAGTGGGTAGAATTGTTTGAAAAGTTTAGGGATGATGCTAAAGTCACTTATAATGGGGAATATAATAATAATAATATGAAGGTAGGTAGATGGGATATTATGTATTGTGATAGAGGTGAAGAATATAAATAAATGTAAATATGATAGTTTATAAGAATATTAAAATCTACAATTGAATATATGTATAGTGGTGGTGGATCATATGATTAAGAAGGAAATTAGAAAAAGTTTGGAAAGTGGGTAGAATTGTTTGAAAAGTTTAGGGATGATGCTAAAGTCATTTATAATGGTGAATATAATATGAATAATATGAAGATAGGTAGATGGGATATTATGTATTGTGATAGAGGTGAAGAATATAAATAAATGTAAATATTATGGAATTTATAAGAAACATACTTAATTATTCAAAAAAATATAATTAGTGGTGGTGGATCATATGATGAAGAAGGAAATTAGAAAAAGATTGGAAAATGGGTAGAATTAGATTAAAAATTTCGGCATGAGATGAAAGTCATTCATAATGGCGAATATAATAATAATAATATGAAGGTAGGTAGATGGGATATTATGTATTGTGATAGAGGTGAAGAATATAAATAAATGTAAATATTATGGAATTTATAAGAAACATACTTAATTATTCAAAAAAATATAATTAGTGGTGGTGGATCATATGATGAAGAAGGTAATTAGAAAAAGATTGGAAGGTGGATAGAATTATATGAAAACTTTAACCATTATTTTTATTAAATCACTTATAATGGTGAATATAATATGAATAGTATGAAGGTAGGCAGATGGAATGTTTTAAATTTGAATTTTGCAAACTAAATTATGTAATAGAATTTTACAAATATCTTAGTGGTTGTATGAATTTTGATGAAGATGGAAATGAGATTTATCGAACTAAAAAGTAATGATCTTTATTAAATAATTAGAGATGACATTATTTATGTTGGATCTTTTAAAAAATAGATGAAGGTAGGTAGATGGGATATTTTGTATCGTAAATCTTAAGAATATAAATAAATGTAAATATTAGAGAATTTATAAGAAATCTATTTAAATCTACAATTATATATAAATAGTGGTGGTGGATCATATGATGAAGAAGGAAATTAGAAAAAGATTGGAAAGTGGGTAGAATTGTTTGAAAAGTTTAGGGATGATGCTTAAGTCACTTATAATGGGGAATATAATATGAATAATGTTAAGGTAGGCAGATGGAATGTTTTAAATTTGAATTTTGCAAACTAAATTATGTAATAGAATTTTACAAATATCTTAGTGGTTGTATGAATTTTGATGAAGATGGAAATGAAATTTATCGAACTAAAAAGTAACGATCTTTATTAAATAATTAGTGATGACATTATTTATGTTGGATCTTTTAAAAAATAGATGAAGGTAGGTAGATGGGATATTTTGTATCGTAAATTTTAAGAATATAAATAAATGTAAATATTATGGAATTTATAAGAAATCTATTTAAATCTACAATTATATATAAATAGTGGTGGTGGATCATATGATGAAGAAGGAAATTAGAAAAAGATTGGAAAGTGGGTAGAATTGTTTGAAAAGTTTAGGGATGATGCTTAAGTCACTTATAATGGGGAATATAATAATAATAATATGAAGGTAGGTAGATGGGGTATTTATTATTGGAATATTTATGGAAGTGAAGAATTCAAATACATGTAAATATTTTAGAATTTATAAGAAACATACTTCATTGTACAATAAAATAAAAATAGTGGTGGTGGATCATATGATGAAGAAGGAAATTAGAAAAAGATTGGAAAGTGGGTAGAATTGTTTGAAAAGTTTAGGGATGATGCTTAAGTCATTTATAATGGCGAATATAATTTGAATAATTTGAAGGTAGGTAGATGGGATATTTATTATTGTAATAATTATAAAAGTGAAGAATTCAAATAAATGTAAATATTAGAGAATTTATAAGAAACACACTTGATTGTACAATAAAATAAAAATAGTGGTGGTGGATCATATGATGAAGAAGGAAATTAGAAAAAGATTGGAAAGTGGGTAGAATTAGATAAAAGATTTTGTCATGCTGCTTAAGTCATTTATAATGGCGAATATAATTTGAATAATATGAAGGTAGGTAGATGGGATATTTATTATTGTAATGAATCTGAAGGTGTAGAATATAAATAAATGTAAATATTATGGAATTTATAAGAAACATACTTAATTATTCAAAAAAATATAATTAGTGGTGGTGGATCATATGATGAAGAAGGAAATTAGAAAAAGATTGGAAAGTGGATAGAATTAGATGAAAAATTTTCAAATTCTCATTAAGTCACTTATAGTGGTTAATATAATATGAATAATAAGAAGGTAGGTAGATGGGATATTAATTATTGTAATGAATATGGAGGTGTACAATATCAATAAATGTAAATATTATAGAATTTATAAGAAACATACTTAATTATTCAAAAAAATATAATTAGTGGTGGTGGATCATATGATGAAGAAGGAAATTAGAAAAAGATTGGAAGGTGGATAGAATTATATGAAAACTTTAACCATTTTAATTAAATCGCTTATAATGGTGAATATAATATGAATAGTATGAAGGTAGACAGATGGAATGTTTTAAATTTGAATTTTGCAAACTAAATTATGTAATAGAATTTTACAAATATCTTAGTGGTTGTATGAATTTTGATGAAGATGGAAATGAGATTTATCGAACTAAAAAGTAACGATCTTTATTAAATAATTAGTGATGACATAATATATGTTGGATCTTTTAAAAAATAGATGAAGGTAGGTAGATGGGATATTTTGTATCGTAAATCTTAAAAATATAAATAAATGTAAATATTATGGAATTTATAAGAAACATACTTGATTCTACAATAAAATATATTTAGTGGTGGCGGATCATATGATGAAGAAGGACATTAGAAAAAGATTGGAAATTGGGTAGAATTGGATAAAAGATTTTGTAAGGATGTTTAAGTCATTTATAATGGCGAATATAATATGAATAATATGAAGGTAGGTAGATGGGATATTTATTATTGTAATAATTATAAAAGTGAAGAATTCAAATAAATGTAAATATTTGAGAATTTATAAGAAACATACTTAATTTTACAATAAAATATATTTAGTGGTGGCGGATCATATGATGAGGAAGGACATTAGAAAAAGATTGGAAATTGGGTAGAATTGGATAAAAGATTTTGTAAGGATGTTTAAGTCATTTATAATGGCGAATATAATATGAATAATATGAAGATAGGTAGATGGGATATTTATTATTGTAATAATTATGGAAGTGAAGAATTCAAATAAATGTAAATATTCGACATACTTAATTTTACAATAAAATACAAATAGTGGTGGTGGATCATATGATGAAGAAGGAAATTAGAAAAAGATTGGAAGGTGGATAGAATATGAAAACTTTAACCATTTTAATTAAATCGCTTATAATGGTGAATATAATATGAATAGTATGAAGGTAGGCAGATGGAATGTTTTAAATTTGAATTTTGAAAACTAAATTATGTAATAGAATTTTACAAATATGTTAGTGGTTGTATGAATTTTGATGAAAATGGAAATGAGATTTATCGAACTAAAAAGTAACGATCTTTATTAAATAATTAGTGATGACATTATATATGTTGGATCTTTTAAAAAATAGATGAAGGTAGGTAGATGGGATATTATGTATTGCGATCGAGGTGAAGAATATAAATAAATGTAAATATTATGAAATTTATAAGAAATATATTTAAATCAACAAATCTATATAAACAGTGGTGGTGGATCATATGATGAAGAAGGAAATTAGAAAAAGATTGGAAAGTGGATAGAACTAGATGAAAGGTTTGGAAATGATAATCAAAAAGTTTATGTTGGAGAATATGATGAGAATCAATTAAAGATAGGGAGATGGGATATAAAAGATTATAAATATTCAAATATCATTATGTATTAAATTAAAGATAATATTTAAGTGGATGTATAATTTTTGATGCTTAAGGTAATCAGATTTTTTAAAATAATAAAATAATTGAAAATATTTAAAATATCGCTTGGGTAGGTTATAAAAAAAATAATAAAAAAGTAGGTAGATGGGATACTTTGTTTGATAGAGATGGAGATGGAAGATATACATTATTGTAAATATTATGGAATTTATAAGAAATATATTTAAATCAACAAATCTATATAAACAGTGGTGGTGGATCATATGATGAAGAAGGAAATTAGAAAAAGATTGGAAAGTGGATAGAACTAGATGAAAGGTTTGGAAATGATAATCAAAAAGTTTATGTTGGAGAATATGATGAGAATCAATTAAAGATAGGGAGATGGGATATAAAAGATTATAAATATTCAAATATCATTATGTATTAAATTAAAGATAATATTTAAGTGGATGTATAATTTTTGATGCTTATGGTAACGAGGTATTTTAGAAAATTAAAAAATTTGAAAATATTTAAAATATTGTTTGGGTAGGCTATAAAAAAAATAATAAAAAGGTAGGTAGATGGGATATTCTGTTTGATGAAATGGAAAGTGGAAGATATACATAAATGTAATATTATGGAATTTATAAGAAACATGCTTAATTCTACAATAAAATATATATAGTGGTGGTGGATCATATGATTAAGAAGGAAATTAGATAAAGATTGGA